CGCCAATTCACAACACATTTAATCTCATAGCACTTCACATAGTAAGGTTGAAGATCTTTCGAATTTTAAACTAAAAACCTCCAAGTGGCAGAAATACCACTGGTTGTGAATACCTGAGAAACAGGATAAATACATCTTGTGTACTATTTCACTAGACTTAAACATCTTTGCAAGCATCCTAAAAACCTTTAAGTATGCATTTAGCAGATGCTGCTTTTCTAAATATTAATCTTTAAGTATTGTATGTTGAAAAGAACAATTTCTTTAAAAGCCAATCAAATATGATTGTTTATGACGGTATGGCTTTATACCGTCACTGTTCTCAGTATGATTATAATGTGGTAAGAAGTGTCAAACTTAATCCATGTCATTACAAAATGGCTGTGACGTCCTGCTGTACGTTCAGGTCACAGCCTCTCTCTTGAGTTAACCTGGCACTGAATTATAATTTGAAATATTGTATTTATGAGTGTTTCAGAGTAGGAGCTGCACTTTGTTTGCTCTGCAAATAAATCCCCTGTTTAGACACTCACAAAATGAAAGTCAAGCTCGGATTATTAAGTTATTGGCTTCTAGAAATAGTAGCTTTTTCTGATTGCCAAACACGCCGAGTGTCTCTGCAGGGCCTAACAACCTGGATACTGAATCAGATAAAGTTGTTCATGGTGACAACTTGAGAGGACCTAACACAAGTTGAATACGATTAAGAGAGAAAAGTGCTATTTAAATGTAGACCATTTACAAGCTTGTCTGTGCTCAGAGACTACACTGGGAAGTTTTGGTCATCATCTGATGGTTGGAATATGGGGGGAGGCAGACTGTGAGTTTCTCTAGTTGGTTGGTGGTATTTGTGAATACTTTGGGTCTGGTTTTGTGCCTCGCCTCACTCTGCTGCCTGTTAGTATCCACTTGGCTTATGTTTCCTTCTCCGTGACTTGGATTTTCATTTTCAGACTTATGTCAAATGTGTCACATCTGCTCTAGCACAGGGGCTGCAGGGTGGCTCAGTGGTTGGCACATAATATGCCCCCCCGACCCTAGTGAGGATTAAGCGGTGTATAGATAATGGATGGATTAAATTTTGGAACTACATATACACCATTCTGAGAGGATGAAGATTTTCGGACGTTAAACACAGCTGTGGGTTGTGAAATACTCACCCGCTCTAGTGTGATTTCTTCAAACTCATATTCAATTTCTGTGCCATTGACCTGAGGAAACAAAAAGCAGGTTGAGCTAAGACATTATCTCCATTTTGAAATGTTTTGATACACAGCTTTAAAATGAAAGTGCTGCTTAATAATTCTTCTGAATTCCATTCATTCAGAATATTGACCGCTGGCTCTGTACTAAGGCCAATTGTACATAAGTGAGGGGTAATTTCCAGGGCCACATGTGCTTTCAATAAGAACCAGGCTTAGGGAGGGAAACATTTTATGATGGCAGGTAAACAGCATTAGCTATATCTGCAAGATGAATTTAGCAAAAGAGGAGTCAGTCCTTTGCTGTCGCTCACTCATATGATGAAGTAACAGCAGGTGTCTCATTATACATTCAGTAGCACACATCATTTTAAAGTAGCATCAGATGGTATTATCAGAACTTCATCTAAATATGGCAGCAAGCAAGACCTGGGGACTAAATTAGCATCAGCAAAGGAAGCGTTGATCTGACGTTACTATACGATCAGATCTTGTGGACAGAGATCTATCACGTATGGAAAGTGTCTAAATAAATGTGAATAATGTCTGGCTGGAAAAAAAAAACTGTTGCCAGAGACAAAAAAAAAAAAACAGTCTCTGGCTGAGGCAGATGCTCCCCTGTCCTCATTTCTTAACCGCAAATCACAAACACATCTGTAGCTATAAACATAAACCCCAAACTAAGATAATTTTACCATGAAAAATACACGATCTCTCGAAGCCAAATGCCCTTTTGAATAGTATTTGATAGCTTCCGATCTGCACCATGGCTTCATTTCTGGTTTTGAAATAAAATGCTGTGAAAAGTAGCAGAGATGTAGGTTTTTAGACAGTCTTGTGCTGGTCTTTTATTCATGACAAACATCAATAATTCAGCACTGCGACCTCGTTTGTTTTACTAAGATAAGTTACAGCATCAAAATGTACTACTACGCCATACATAATCTGGAGTGGAGCTTCTACTCAAGTGCGCTTTATTCAGCTGAAGGTATCGATCTTCTAATAAAAAAGACTAATAGCTGCATTAAAAAACGACTCACGTAAGGAACTGACTCCAAAGTGTCTGTGTTGACGATTATTGGAGCAGGACTGGCCTGTAAGAGAGACAGAGAGAAGAGGGGGGAGAAAAGACTGAGAGTTAGGTTGTAGTACTAGAGAGACACTTGGGCCCACCACAGTCCTACTTTCCATAAATGCATCCAGGGGACAAGCTTGTGGATCTCTGTATCATCAACAATTTAACAGACTTCCATTTGCTGGATGGCACACCCCTCTCACAGACAGCACTCTGACAGAGTTACAGCTGAATAGGTTTAACAAGAGAGAGGGATGAGAAGAAGGTTAGTAATCAAGTGGACTTTGTAAGGTTTTATCATGCAGATGTGAATTTTGACACCTCGCCGAAAGTTTCAATGGAGCATAACAACTGCAGAATCAGTAATTCATACGGGAAAGCAGCTTGTGTTGAAATGTGCCATGAATACCCAGAAAATGCAAGTGTGAAAGACACCAGTAAAAAGACAGCCTTCCAGCTCAGATGCCTTTCTGTTGCATCTGTTATGGTCCCACGACATTGTTCTCTGAGCCTGAACTGACCTCCTGTCAGGTAATAATATTCCAGTATAATATGAAACGAAACCAAAGCCACATCGTCCACGCAAAATGCATCCTCCTGATAACTTGTAGAAAATGAGCAGATGGTTAAAGGAAGAACTCCTACGGGAGAAACTCTGTGTTTTAGCCAAAACATGAGAGCGGTGACCCGAACATCAGATAAACAGCGGTTGAGTTTACGGTACGTAAACGACAAACTCAATGTTTAAGACTCACTTCAAAAGATGATGTTCAAGGATGCATTTGGAGATTCCTTTGAAATTCGTCCTTTGATTTTGTCCCCAAAAGCTGAATAGAACTTCAACAAACACGGGAGTCACAAATGAAAAGGCTAATTATTCTCCTGCGAATAATTAGAGTGGAAAAGTATGTAATTCACAAAAAGAATATTCTATTTTGTGCTAAAGATGAGAGCACCACTCTAGAGGAAAACCTGAAGTCATGGCAAGTACCTAATCCCATCACAACATATTTTACATCTGGTCTCATCATTACCTAGAAAGACGATCACACTGCATGCAGTTTCCAGATGGACACACACATACGCACACAAGCACAGATTTACACAGCCACAGCAATAAAACCAGTGACGGGGAGGTGAATAACATCGACAATCTCGTTACTAGGGCACCTGTCAAGGGGTGGAGTAGTTAGTCAGCAAGTGAACAGTCAGTTCTTGAAGTTGTGTTGGAAACTGAAAAAAAAATGGACAGGAAGGATTGGACCACCACTGACAAGGACTAAACTGTGATGATTAGATGGCTGGGTTAGAGCACCTTCAAAATGGCAGGTCGGTGAACCGTTCATGTGCCAATTGATCTTTATGGGGAGTGAAAGCTGGTTGCCTGATTCCATTGAACAACTGCTGTAGCACAAACTGCTGAGAAGCTTAATGCTGTCTTAACAGAAAGATCCCAGAACACAGAGTGCGTCGCAGATTGCTGTGAATGGGGTTGCTTAGCTGGTCAGAGTGCCCGTGCTGATGCCTGTCCACTGGCAAAAGCACCTACAATGGACACCTAAGTGGTCAGAACTGGACCAAGAAGCAATGAAAAAGGGTGCTCTGGTCTACAAATCATGTTTTTCTTAAACATCACATTGATGGCCAGGTGTACCTACGTCAGGATCTTGCAAACAGATGGCAGCAGGATGCACTATAAAAATTAGGCAAACCAGTGGAGGCAGTGTGACGCTCTGGGCAATGTTCTGCTGGGAATCCTAGAGTCCTGCTATTCTTGTGCATGTTGCTTTGACATGTACCACCCACCTAAACATTACTACAGACCACCCTTATTGAAAGCAGTACTTCCTGAGGGCAGTGGCCTCTTCAATAGGCCGACTTTAATTGTCATGGTCATGCCACTGACGATTGTGACAAAGAGTTCACTTGGCCTGCAAATTCTTCAGATTTTATTTCGATGGATCATCTGTGGGATGTGTTGGGGGTTTCAACTTGCAACTTAAAAGACCTGCTGCTAACTTCTTGGAGCCTGATACCACAGGACACCTTCAGAGCTCTGGTGGAGTCCATGCCTCAGCAGGTCAGAGCTGTTTTGGTGAAACGAGGAGGACCTACTACTTCAGCACATGTTTTAATGTTGTGGCTAAACAGTGTATATCACTGCTATGGTGTGGTTTCAGAGTCCCTTATAACTGCGTACCTGCTGAGAAAGTGACATGACATTGTGAAAGATGAAACTGTTTGCTTAGTCGTCAGTCCAGTGACAGCACATGTCAGCAAGCCTGTCTACTCATGTCTCCATCACAGCTATCACATAGCTGAGACCGCTGCTCACCCGGCTGCTCAGGTAACAAACTCCATAGAAGTGGATGGTTCTTTCACTGCCAGTAGATTAATATTCTGGGAATACAAACTACAGCAAATATTACAGAATCAATAGAAGGGATGGACGCTTTCAGGTTTGCTGCAATTGTTAAATATGCTCTGGTATAGAAAACACAATTCCTTATATAACCCATGCAGGTGCAATTTTGTGCTTTCTACTCAGAAGATCAGATTTATCCAATTCTTCTTGTGTTTGGGGTTATAGCTGCTTCACATCATTAACCAGGTGTAAATAAACAATTGAAAGAACAACAAATTAAACAACCAAGAAAGAAGAATGCACCTCAACAAGTCAAGCCAAAGTGAAAAAAGAAAATGTGACAATGATGACTCTTTGATTAGGACTTAATCAGTGTCTCCAGCGAGGACTACCCACACACTCTAAAGATGAATTACCACAAATTAGCATTGTTTTAAAGTCTGATGCTGGATGCTGTGGTGCCTATCACACTGAGCAAAACCAACATGTTTGTTTGGCCTGATTCTGCCATCCAAGTGAGCTCAAATCAATGAATCAGTATTTGTGCAGATTAACAAATACATATTAGATCTAATAATATTCTAGCGGCTGTGAAAGAAGGGAAGGCCTTTAAGTTACTGCCAGTAATCTTTGTTTCTGGTTTGCTTCTGCTAACTTCCTGATCTATTCTCAAGTGCATGAAAACAAGATAAAAGTCATCATGTTAGATTAAAAAAGAAAATCCCATCAATGAAATTAAATGGAACTGGCTTATCTGAAGTGAAATAAGGATGGTGTTATTTCTCTTAGCCATATTTTACTGTCTTTGAAAAATTTATTGAGCATTCAGTGTGCATCTAATGTAGTAACTATACCCAACTAATATATTTTATATTGAACAATGAACTTTTCAGGTGATTAATATGCCACATTTTCCAGGTTAGTCTGAAGCATTTACATTAAAGTGACCTATTATATCAATGTGACTCAGTGAACTTAACAAAAGACAAAGATTACAGTGAGCTGTGCAGGATTGCAAAGCCAGAAACCGACTAAAGGAAAATGTTGTTGTGAAGATAAATGATGAAAGGGATTAACACAGTTCTGCTTGCTGTGCATGGACCTCATATGAATGAATTCACAGTCATTCTCAGAGAGAACACACAGCCTATCAACAATGAACTCGACTCTGAGTTTAAGCAACACAATGCAACAGCATGTGCAACTCACAGTGGAAGCCCTTTACTATTGCTTATTGTCAAAAATGTAAAGACTCTTTTATTTATATACGTCATATGTAAGTTCAAACATGAGCAAACACTCTCCCATCATATACATCCACAAAGACTTTCCTAATCTACCTACTTGGACAGGAAGAATGACTTGCAGCTTGTACAAAAGGACATCAACAGAGAAAGACACATGCAGCCACTAGTGCAGCAAATCTCCTTCTGTTATGCTGAAGAACAGAAGCCTGAAAATGATCCCACTGGAGATCAGGAGATTCAATCATTACTCTTGATCCTGTCACGCCGCTTCCTGCTGACCTGTGCCAGACAGTTTGTGCCAGCAGTCATGCAGGTTAGCAGGAGGAAAAGGAATGTCAGTAGTGACTTGCACCAAAGTGAAGAAGGGTCGCCTTTAGCATCATACAGTGTGGTTTCTGAACAGAAATCAGAGTAATTCAGTGTCTCAACAAGCAAATGGCAATGCTACACAACAGAGGTGCTAAAAAAAGAAAAACAAAGGTAGCTATGTAGGATGTAGGAGCTACATACTGTACATTTCCACTTCTTTGCCCTATAGAAGCCAACACACATAGCATGGATATCCCTTCAGCTGTGAATATGTATGCACCCCCGAGAGATAATGGCCACTGAGCAGAGCACATAAATAGCATGCTTAACTGCACTTAGGCTCATTTCTCTCCTTGTTCATGCTTACTAACATTGCCACGTGATCAGCTGCCTCAAACAGCACATAGTCCAGCAGCACGGCAGCACAGACCATCATGTGTTAAGAGGCTTTCTTGGAGTTAGAAACTATAAGAGACTATATCAGTGTAACAATGCTTAATTGTTCATTAGATTTCTGCCTGCACAGAAAGAAAATGGAACATTCAGAGTGCTATAATAGCGCTATATTCTATTCTGCACTGAACAAAAATATAAACGCAACATTTTTGTTTTTGCTCCCATTTTTCCTGAGCTCAAAGATCTGAGACTTTTTCTATCTACACAAAAGGCCTATTTCTATCAAATATTGTTCACAAATTGGTCTAAATCTGTGTTGGTGAGCACTTCTCCTTTGCCAAGATAATCCATCCACCTCACAGGTGTGGCATATCAAGATGCTGATTAGACAGCGTGATTATTACACAGGTGTGCCTTAGCGTGCTCTAAAATGTGCAGTTTTGTCACACAGCACAATGCCACAGATGTCGCATGTTTTGAGGGAGCGTAAAAATGGCATGCTGACTGCAGCTGGTGTAACTCCTACAGAGAAAAACTGCAGCACAGATACATAATATTCTACAGACGGTACATGGTCTGCACTTATATACCTGTCTACCTTAGTGGTACTCAAAGCACTTCACAGTGTATTTTTTTATTCACCCGTTCACACACACATTCACACACCAATGGGACAAAGCTTCCATTCAAGGTGCCTGCCTGCTATGGGGAGCAACTTTCAGTTTGCTGTCTTGCCTTGTCACTCACAGAGTGACTTGTTTGTGTCAAATCGTGTGTTCTTGTTGAGTTTTACTCAATTATTCAGTGTCCCTCCATGTACAGTGGTTCATGGCTGGGGAGTGTATCAATAATTCACTGGTATGTCATGTAAAAATAGTCAACAACACAATGTGAGATGTGGATGCTTTAGAAGTATGGTTGAAGTGAGGGAAACAGGATGGATGGGTGTGATGGAAATGGACAGCGCTAACCTGCTAACTTAAACTAACAGCAGAGATAATATTGATAGATTCTTTTAGATCTTATCACAAATTAATCATCATTTATCTCTTTAAATAAAGCAAAACATGACAAATAGTTCTGGCATATTTAAAGGACAAATGAGAACAAGTTCAGTGCTGCCAATAAGGGATTCTGACATTAAAGGTTTTAATTCCACCACATGATGGTTGGTTTCCAGTTGCCTCCCACTGGCCTTGCCTAAGGTCATTATATGTATAGTTGCACAAACGTGGCACATTCCAGCTATCAGATTCACCACCACAATTCTCTGTACTGCAGTAGTTTTGTATCTGTGTAATTCCTAAAGTTTCTAACACCTACTGATCAGTCATTAAGTCCCTGTTAAGTGTCCAGTTTCTTTTCTTTGCTAATAACAACCATCCTAAAATGTAATAGATGTTTTATAGATTTAGTCATTTTTACACATTTACCTGTGCATACAATGGAGGCCATTAAAAAATATATGAGAGAGGCCATTATCAGATTTAGGACATGTCCTGTTTCACTCTGTTTTGAGGGCAGTTGAAAGAGAAAATATGAGTTTGTTGCAACCCAATATCCTAGAAATCTAAATGCATTTACTTCAATACAACAGCAAACACATTTTGAGGAAAACAAAATGCAAAATTATATACTACGGAAATCCACTTCCCACTCAGCACAAAGTCTTCTTTTCAGAACCTCTGTCATGACATCTGGTGAAAAAAGTCTGCAAAAATATATTTGACTGTTACACCCATTATCTGTCGGCAGATATGCTATCTGGCATGGTTTTCAACATTGTACCACATGATTATATTTAAGCCACACAACACTGATGGCAGGCCAACCGCTTTTTAAACATAAATCAGTGCCCAGTGTTTGCCAGGCTTTTGTGAATACAGCATTATAAAATCAAAAAAACAAACAAAAAAAACAAACCACAATCTTTAACTACAACTAAAGTGCTTTTGTTGTCTAAACCACAGTCAGAAATCTAGACGTAAACAGGGAAAACCAGTGGGGCCATCAACTGATTTAAGCTTATTGCACTTATATCTGTGTACATTAAGTTAATCAATAAGTACAAAAACAACCATATTACAGAAACACCAGGGATATGTCTGTGGTACTCTTGATGTAAGGTCGTCCAGAGAACATTCACAAGTTTGTTTTCAAATATAAAATGACCCGCAATGCTACATGTCTTTGTCACGGTTCTTTGGAAAACACACGGCAGCCATTCAAAGTATTTGATGGTTTCGGTTCATCTGCCAAATAACTTCATTTATTCCCAGCAACCAGGAATGTGTCACTTAGTTTACAGTTGTCACATAATTAAAGTGAGGAACAGCTGCTGCAGATGACAAGAACTGCAATTGTAAAAAAAAAAAAAAATCACCAGGACTTTAATAACAAGTCCAGTCACTGTCAGTTCACAACAGTGTGCAGCCAAACCAAACGTTTTTACAGTTTCTACTTCAGCAAGCTTCGTCCTTTAATAATCCATTTCCCGACGCCAGCATATCCACAGAGCAATTCATTCAGTGACTAGTGGCAAAACATCCCAGAATAGCGCCAGGATTTCTTGGCATATTTTTCTCTGCTTCTCGAGTCTTCTCAACAAATACTGTAGCTCTGCTCTGGCAATCAGACGCAGCTTTATAGCTCTAATTTCTGATTAGGGCAGGCAGGCTGCTCGGCCCAGTCACCCTTGAAGCCAATTTCATCAGTGAAATCAAATTTTCCAGATTTTTTTTTCCTCCATATTTGGAAACTACTGGGTGTGTTCATAATAAACAAAAATAACCTAAATATGAGTGCCAAGCGTAGTACGCCCACCTTTTGTCCTTGTGCTTTGATTTGTAGAGACTTTCTCTTCCTCTTTAGTGTCACAGTTTCTCATGCTTGGCACAAAGTGCACAGCTCATTGCCAAGGCTCTTCATGCTGCCCATTTTGATACTGCAGATTTTGTGACTGATGCACCCAGCCTGGATATCTTTTACTGCTAACTTTTGGTGCCAGTTGGAACTTCTAACAGCGTTTGCTTTGACTGTCTGTGTTGCTTCTTTTGGAAGCATTACTTCATAGCACCTAAGCCAATTGTGAGGTGGTAGTTCTATTCTTACATCCATAATCTTGATGTGAAACACAGCAGCTCTTTTGGATCAGAGTGTATTTCATAAAAAAATCACCTTAGTTCATTCACAAACAAACTGAAGCTATTTTGACTTCAGACTTCAACGGGGATGTGAGCAACAGAACAATTCTTGTTTACGGTTCCTGACCATGAAAGCGCCACTAAAACAGTAACACAATGCGATACAAACAGCGCTTGTTAGTTGCTATGCAAAAGCAAAACATATTTTTCTGGACAGCATATGAAATAAAGCAATAAAATAGAAATACAGCTTGGATGGTAACAGAGGAAAAAACACAGAACATTCCTTAAATGAGTCGACACACTCTGAACAACTATGACCATTTTTTTCCTGGTTTGAAACCTCAAACTGAGATGTTACTGAAACGCACAACATGTGTAAATAATTTCTATGTTACTGACAACCAGAGAAAGAAGTTTTTTCAAGATACAAAACACAACCTAATGACGTGTTTAGTTGGAAAAGCAGCTCTGTACAAGAGAAGTAAACCAGTTAAAGTAAAGCTTTTACACAAGCTCCCCTAAGTTGCTGAGTAACATAGAACAATCTGTCCATACTGCATTAATAGAGGCTTATACTATGACTGATAAATGATGAATTACTCCAACTTCTATAGACAAAAATGCGGCGACAAAATGCATCATAATTTACCTTTAGTCTACATTAACACTACGGACGATCTCCAATAACAGCGCAGTTTTACCTGATAGGGCTCATGCCAGCTCTGGATGCAGTCACACTCAGGGGGCCAAAGGTCACAGCTTCCCCCTTTGGCCACCAAGCGGCTGGGCGTTCTACAGGGCATGCTGTCCAAATGCCAAGCAGCAATTCGACCTCCCCTACGCGGAAGGGTAGCGCCACCAGGGACAGATCCATAATGGTACCGCTGGCACGGGCGGTGGTGGTGGTGATTGTTGGAGTGCTGATGATGCCAGCTGTAGGAACATGGCACCTCCCCACAGTCACCCCTTCCATCCAGGTCCACAAAGCAACTCTGCTGTTTGCTAAGGTAAGCAGTCATGCTGCCACCGCTGCTCACTTCACCACTTTGTATTTTGCTTCTTTTTGTTTGTCTTCCGTAGGTTCACTGCAACGGTCATCAAGCACGAGACTCAGTCCTGCCTGATGTCTGAATCGCTTGCCTTGGCAAAATGAATGATGACGGAACCGACTAGCTGGCTGCTAAACGGGCTGCAGAGGGTTTGTGTGTGACTGTGTGTGTGAGTGTGTGTGTGCCAAAGCCTCTGGAGTGGGAGAACGATAAATGAGAAAGAGAGAGGAAGAGAGAAAGGGGAGGGAGTAGGGGGGGAAGAGAGACATAGGGAGGCATAGAGGAAGGTACTGGGTGAGAGAGCACTTGTGAGAGAGAGAGAGAGAGAGAGACAGGAGAGCTAAATGAGAGAGGAACTGAAGGGGAGAGAGAGAGAGAGGGGAAAAGGGGGAGATGAATAATAGAGAATGAAGGGAAGGAGGGAGGCAAATGAAGCAAGAGATGGAAGAGAGTGTTGTCTGTGCATTGGCTGTCAGCCATCTGTCAATAAATGAGTCAACTAGCACTGCTGCTTGACAGCATCCGCACCTCCAGGCAGAAACAATTGATGGTTAGTGCTGCTGGGATTTGGAGGCAAAAGAAGCTTGAACTACAAATCCCTATACTATTACTATGGGAGTGCCTGCATTGGAGGGGCTGAAGCTAAAAAGCACAATAAGTTTTTTCTTGAAAATTCAAGCATTCTGCTGTTGAAAAATCAAGCTTTGTGACCCATACACACTTTGAGTCTGTACGTAAAGCAGCACAGGTTGCCATGTTTTTATATTTTAGATTTACAATGGTTATAATAATGATGTGCATTCATGCTGATGAACACAATAACAATTACCATCCAGCTCTGCAGTTTAATGTATGTCTTCAACAACTTTTTAGCTTACAGTTTTCTAACGGCCTGCAAACCACACTCTCACCACCTAAACTTGCAGCAGAAACAGGCAGTTGTTTGCAGTAAACAGCTGTGATAAACCTGCTATTATGCATGGCTTGGCCAGCACCTGCAGATGGATGGACCAATGCTTTCTCAGGATTTAGTGGAGATCAAAACTGGTCTACAAGGAGAGTGAATGTTGGACAGACATTCATCAGCTGTATGAAAACAGGACACTAAATTAAAGCAATTTGTGTCTGCTAGACGTATAAATACAGGAGGTTCTAAAGTAGTCGTGAACACATTTGCTATATCAACTTTGTAAATACATAAGTGGCTAAAGTGGCTTTTAAAATATAGTATACAATTTAAACTCATATCAAAAATGAATCTCTGAATCTTGACTATCTCCAACGAGACAGCTTAGATACGTCTTATGCCAGGTTCAGACAGTGGTACATTTTTGTTTATTACGATCGGCACTTTGTCAGATTAGGCTGTTATGGAGTCACAAATTCCTGCTGTGACTTTGGCTGTGAGACATAACAGAATACACATCGGTATCAACTTATCATAATTTTTTTGCTGTTACTGGGAAGAGGTGCCAGGGACCAACTTCCAACCAACAGTGTGTATGATACTGGTAATTCTGTGCTAGGAACGGACCAAAAAAAATAAAATAAAGATCAAATGATGTGGAGCTAAGTATGGATCACAGCAAGAGAACAGTATGAGCTGTCTGTCTTTTAACCTTCCTGTTGTTCGACCATGTTCACAGCTGTGAATGCTCAGAGAGAGCAAGAGAAGGTAAAACATGTACTATTGCTTATTGCCTGTAACTTTACACAACTCAGTCCTGATGTTGGTATTTCGTGGTATGACCCCAGCATCAGGGAGTCCACGTGTTCTTCAGAACACTAAAACACAAAGTATCAGCCATCTCGAATAAAAACCTCTCAAATTCCTAAATGAACAAGATGCTATTCTTTATCCCACAGAGGATGCAATGTTCCTATCTTTTCTTTGTATATCTTCTGTTTCTTCAAGTATTTATAAATATAGAAAACCCAACAGGAAGATGGTAAAATTGCAACCAATCCCACAAGCCACTGTTTCTTAAACTGATGCATCCCTCTGAAACACTATCTCACATCTACACAGCACAGTGAGACAAAAGCAACAGCAATAATGCAATAAAATGACTGAAAGTATGCTGATTTGATCTGTTTAGAAACAGCATTTTGTGACTTCCTCTTTCCTCACTTCTTCAGCAAGATTAAATCAGGGTGATGGAGCATTTAGTTGTAGGCAAATGATGCTAAAACATCTGGCTGCTTTGGTATCGACATCTGTAACGCGAGAAAACACAACTTACAATAAGTATATTCTGAATTCTCATCTGAAGAAAGACCACTTTAAGCTGTATATGTAGCTATGGAGGGATACCTAGTGTCTCCACACCATCACATGGTCTGCAGTGTGTGTGTGGGTGTTATCATGACCACTTCCATCTACCAGAGGCAACAACCACAAAACACTCAGTGATGGAAAATTACCTCATCAGAGCTGACTGAGTTCGTAAACAGCGTGTCCTCGTAGGAGAGAAAGCGTAGAGGGAGCATTGGTGGGTCGACCAAACGTGTATTAGTGAGTCTACATAACATTATAATCAGAGATAAAGAGTGTGTGGGCAGCAGGGGAAATGGTTGGATGGATGGCTGGTCAAACTGGAAAACAAAGTCAAACCTTTTCATTCAGCTACTGTTTTTGACACCCCTCTACACTCCTCCGTGTGGTTTTAATTTTGGCCATGTACTTAATTTATGTATATACGTTTTTAAAGGGATGTTGATGCATTCATGCATGGCTCTGCTCTTGGTCACACCTTAACAACAACAACAATAAAAAAAAGTACAAAAATGTGCAATTCCTGGAGACAAAGGAAAGCCTTTGTAGCTTGTTTGCAACTGCTAAAGCTGAAAAAAGATATTCATCCTTTTTCTTAACGTTTTATCATGTTCTCTTGTGTCTTTCCTGTAGTAAAGCTGAAATACCAACAGAGGGCAGTCAAAAATCTCAATGAAGAAAAAACTGCAAAGACCACAAATGACGACCACGGCACTGTCTTGTTTTGTAACCTAATCTCGTGTAGTGACATGAAATGCCACCTGTGCAAATATCAGACAACTGATGACCACAAACTGCTGTTTTCTATGTCAGTTTATCATCTGTGATGTATAGTCCAGTGTTGAATGACACAAACTAACATACGGCAACCCAATAACGAACTCAGAATCTGTTGCTCTCTAAATGAATACTAAGTGGCAGATGTGCTATCCATTGATCTACTGATGTGAACTGCTGTTGAATGTCAGAACAAAAAGTGTGTTTGTCTTAAGAATAAAGCTTTTGTGATTGTGGTACTTGAGTAGCTGAGCATGACAATATATAGCATGTTAGCTTACGGCTGAATTCTAATCTTTATTACTAGTATGTACCAGAGCACTCAGTGAGAACCCATGCAGGCACAGGGAGAACATGCAAACTCCACATCTTTAGTGACTCATGAAGACATTTCTTAGCTTGTTTAGACTCCAACCTCTCCTCTTTGCCTTTAACGATGGTTCTGCACATTTAAAATAAACAGCTTTTGTTGTATGTTTTTTTTTCATAAATCTCCTGTCAAAGGTTAATATAAATGTTAATAAAGGAAAATATCAACACCATCCACACATGTAGCAACCTTCAGTCTAATAGACAGACTGAAATAATTATCTCACCTTCATGGACTATGATGAGTTTGGGATATAGCATAATCATTTTTACATACTGTTAGTTGTTGTGCTCTTTGTTGCTGATAATAAATATACTTTATCCAATATATGATGCTACGCAATCTAATCAATTGGGTTTCGTGTGTGTATGTACACAATCTCAAGCAAATGTGTGTTTGGTTTGTGTGACCCTGAGTTTCTGAGTTTTTTTCAACCCACTCAGATACCACCTGACCTTTGACACAAACTTCGGAGCCAATCAAAATCTGACTCATCATTTAGTGTATCTGTGCCACTTGATTAAACAACTCTCTGCCACTATTGCTAAGAAACATAATCATCTGTGCACCAAGGGAGAACCCTCATGGTGGGAAAGTTGAATTGCTTTAATGGGCCACTTATTCCTTCTGTGTCAACCACATTTGACCTGTTTTTATTCATGGAGGAAGGTAATAGAGAATTTAAAAAGCATTATTAGCCAGTTTGGGTCCCCCAGTCAACAGAACATGTTTAATCAAAATGCCCTGTATATGCTTCACTATAAATAAACTTGATAACTTTATAATGTTGGTGCCAACAGTTCTATGGTATGATGAACAGAAACATGTATAGAATGTGGAGTGTAATATGCTAGATGCAAATACTTTGATTAAAGGACACAGTAATCAGTAAGTCATACAATCTCTCTGGTAAAACAGTAAAATACGTTGACAAAACATGTAAATGCAATTAACTGTATTAATTGTAATTGGATGTGCATCTTAAATCTGACAGACAGAAACGCCTTCTTCAGCTGACTATGAACTGAAGGTTTAGTGAGCTCTTTTTACAGAATATGTTGATACAGTGATATGCACCGTCTTTTAAGCAATACATCTAACTTGCCACAAGAGGGCACTTACAGTCCAGCTTCAAGCAGCAGGCCTGACTTTTTAAAATGTTCCTAGTATTTGCAGCTCTGTTCATACAAAAGTCATACAGTCACACATGCATTTTGGCTGTTACATAGAAATAATATAGGTCTTTTGGAAATATGACAACATCTGCTGGGTCAAAAATAGAAATACAGCAATGCTAATGTTTGGTTAAATGTCCTTTGGCCATTTTTACCTCAACTAGGTGCTTTTGTTAGCTTTTGGTTGTATCTTTGATCACTGCTCTTGACAAAATTGGTACATTTAAACTAAATCTGTTGGCTTTCTGACACAGACTTGTTTCTTCATCACAGTCCACAGACTCTTGATGGAGTTTAGGTCAGGACTTTGGCAAGGCCAGTCTAAAATCTATCCCAGTTTAGCCATTTGTTTGTCACTATTGATGTGTGTTTAGGGTCATTATCTTGTTGGAACACCCAGCTGTGTCTAAGACCCAACCCTCTGGCTGGATAGTTTAGGTTTTCCTGAAGAATGTAGAGATAATCATCCTTCTTTATTATTCCACTTACTGTATGTAAAGCACTAGTTCATGACCAATTGTCACTCAGAAGCAGCGGTTAGATTGCATTTCCTTCCTGAGTGTGGTAGTGATACAGCTCTAACATGTTCAAGTCAATGATTTGCTCTTTCAGATTTTTGCTGAGTTCCTCAGACTTTCCCACTGTAGTGTTTGTGACCGAGTCTAACGAGTGGATCAAATGGGCCTAAATTCACTCAGAGGAATCAGCAACTGTAGTCAATCGTAATCACTCATGAGAAGTTAAGAGGCCATGCGACAAGGAGCATCACCAAAAAAAAAAACAAAAAAACTGCTACATCACCAAAATTCATAATTCAATTTGTTGTATTTTTGATCCAGCAGATTTATTCAGATTTTGTCATAATACCTACAGCAAATTTATAAAGGAAGTAAAATGCATGAATGTTTTTTTCCCCCACAAAGATGCATGAGTTTTAACGATTCCCTCACAGAAAATGTAAAGTTATAGGAGTCATTGGACACTCGAAACTGCCAAGATACAGCTGAAACCAGAACTTTACATATACTGTATAAAAAGACACAGAGCCTCTTTTTCTCACTGGTTGATATTAAATCAGACAAAATTTTTTCCTGTTTTAATGATCACAACCTGCTCCTTCTGACACCAAAGTATGTTCCTCTCGTTCAACGGCAGTCTGCTTCCACAAGGACCGTTAGGAGGTGGAATCAGGAGGCCAAAGAGGCTCTACAGGACTGATTTGAGTCTACTGACTGGGAAGTGCTGTGTGATCCACATGGGGAGGAGCTTAACAGCATCACAGAAGACATAAAGTTCTGTGAACACACCACCCTGCCAGCCAAGACTGTACGCTGCTTCCCAAACAACAACCCCTGGATCACCAGTGACCTGCAAGTCCTCCTCAGCAAGAAGAAAAAGGCCTTCAGGTCTGAGGACAAGGAGGAAATGAGGAGGTTACAGCCTGACCTGAAGGTGGAGCTGAGGAGGGCCAAGGACTCCTACAGGAGGAAGCTGGAGGCCAAACTCCAGCAGAACAACACGAGAGATGTGTGGACTGGAATGTGCCAGTGAGCAGCCCAGACAGAGCGAATGAGCTGAACTGTTTCTTCAACAGATTTAGTTCACAGCCCTCAGCTGTGTCCTCCTCCTCCACACACTCTGGCCTGCGTTAGACTCCAGGGGGATTACTTCGAAGGGGAAAACTCCTAGTTTGGGTTTGAAATATATCTTTTGTGACACAAGTCCTGGAACTTTTCTGACACACCTCGTTTATGCCATGTGTCATAGACATCAGTGGCCAGGTGATATCTAAGGCACTACTGCGCTACTTTTGCAGGCTATGCATCTGAGACTGAAAAGGTTTTGACCCTGTAGAGGGAGATGTGTGCCATGTCAAAGACTGTTGCCAAACAGAATGTATCCCACAGACTGACTCCCAGACAACCTACCACTATAACTCACCAGTTGAAGACACAAGTTATCTGGAAGATCCATAACGTCTGGGACGACATTCATTCGCCCACCCCCCATGATGTTAATACCAGAGTTAAATGAGAAAGCATAGCGTGGGGACAGTGCTGCACCTGGTCGTAATGATGTAGCCACAGCTAGCCTGCTGGAATACATGTAGTGTAAATGTGCAGAACATTGTTAGTATGAGTGTATGTTATAGGACATGGAGGTAGGTGAATGTGTAGCGCAAGATATTTAGTGACTACTAACAGCTTGAAGCATGCAGCCACATTGTGCTAACGTACTTGTGTTTCTGTGTTTGCAGAGTGAAGATTCTGTTTAAACTCATGCACAAATAGAAGTCTCCTATTTGTCCAATTGTGCAACACTTTTAGTGATACAATCCAGAGAGCGAAGGAAATAAGCTCAACAGAAGCCTTAAAAAATGGGTGGTAATGTGACGGAACTCATCCAGCTATTCCATTAACTCATGCACGGAAAGCCAAATAGGAAATATCTTCTATCTAATTAATTCCATAAATTTAAGGAACCTGTAGGATGGAACGTATTTTCTAATTAAGCATCACATAAGAATTGGAACAGGTTGTAAAATCAGAGGAGCAGCAACTGGTTTTGTCACTGTTGCATATGTAGCGGGTCTTTCTGGTTTAAGTTTACAATAAAGAGTCACTGAGGAGTGATCTTTGTTTAGTAAAGACTGAAACAGCCGTGTCCTACGAGCTTGTTGGTTTGATATATTGACATATATCATCAAGACATCAGCTTCTGGCACATGCAAGTTTTCTAACCTGTGATTCATCCTCACTGCCACAGTGTTCCGTCTGCATCTTCTCCATTATGGTCTGTTTCCGCTTGCAGACAGTAACTAGTGAGGACCATTTCGCTGGGCTCAAATTGAGATTAAGCCCCATACTCAAGCTTCCTAGGTGTGGAGCCCAGCCCCGCAGGACGTCCATGGACAGCCTCTTCTTTAGGGTCCCTGGGCTGTCTGAGCCTGAATTGGACAGGAGGTTAGGGACACTTCCTCCAGTGGGAGCATACCTCAAGGATGACTTGTTAATCATGCTGTCCCACCGTTTCTTTCCGATAAAGCTCATCTTGAACCTGATATTGCACATCCAAATGTACCCTTACTGAAAGAGGTCATCAAGTAAGCCAGACAGCTTCCATAAACAACCAGACATTCTGCTTCAGGAAAGGTATCCCAACAAAAAGGAAAAGTTCAGTAATTTCCCACAGCATCTGCAGAAGTAAAATAATCCATGGGTCAGGTGTACCTGTAGAAACCAGACTGTGCTGTGTTGAAAATCAACTTCTCATCCATGAGCTGAAATCTGGGAGGATTAGAAGCTCTGCAACAGAGCAGAAATCTGCCCTCTCTACAGTTGTGTTTTGGTGCAACACAGCACATACAGGACGACAATGGATGCAGTGGGACTATTGAGGACAGATTGGTGATCGTGTTCCGAGAGGGGGGTGAAACCCTTTGCGACACATACTCAATATATCTGATTGGATGAGAGCTACAGTGGCTGGGGTCACAGTTGTGGATCCGATTGGACTAGTCAGGAAAGAGTGCTGGGTGCTGGAGCCCACTTATATAAATCACGTGGAGGCATAATTAATGCCTGAGGGAAGGGAGCTCTGTCAGGAAGCCAAAACTAGATTAGAGGCAGATCAATGGTGCATTTCAGAAAAAGAGGTGGAGCAACAGTGGCCCATACCACACTTCAACACAAAAACACCATAATGAGCCACACATTAATGGAAACAATCACATATTCGCTGCAGAGGGAGATTTAAAAAAAAAAAAAAAAAGTGACGCTAAACATTGGCTTGAAGCTAATTGAAAAATCTCAGAGCACCTTTCACCTTTTCTTTTTCTCTTTGGTGGTTGGAGCAATCAGAGAGAAGCGACTCAGATACAGAGAGAGAGAGAGAGAGAGAGAGGTGAGTGGCTTCCTTGTGTCATCTGTTTCTTTTATTTGCTTGTTTATTAATGACCTCTTCTCTCTCTTACAGCCCACAACCATCTCCCTCCCACGCACTGGCCTCTCGTTGCCTCCTCATTCTCTGACTGTTGTCTGGTGTATCAGCTGCAGAGGAATGTGTGGATGCTGGAACAACTCAGGCCTCAAGCTGAGGCTGCCTCGAAGCAGCGATGCTCTCTGCTTCAGTGCCGGATGAATGTAGGATTAGACTCGCCTGGTGTGACACTGATAACAACTTACAGGTACACATAAACCAAGATAGAGGGTAAGCAGAATGTCATAACTGCTCACAGCAGACATGTTGACAGGCTTAAAAAATATAAGAAAGAGTTGAATGAAAAAGCCCATAACACACTGCTGTGTTTCTGTGTTAGCTGGTTCTCCAGATGCTTGCCAGGAGCCCTCTTAAAAACCCACTCCGCTATCATGCTACTGGAGTGTGCATCCATTATCAAAAGGAGCTGGTTCCTACGCAGCAAATGGCTGCTTTACCACCGGGACATCATGACGGTAACAACCACAGGCAATTAAAAACAGAAACAGAAAGGGAGAAAGAGAGAGAGACACACAGAGAGAGAGAGACGAAGGTGGAAGTGGAAGTAAAGTGAATATGAGAAAAGGGCAAAAAAAGATGCAGGAAAAAAGAGTGTTGTATAATATTAAACACAAAAGATGCTTTTACCCTCTAAAATTTCCAAAACTGGGTAGCACTTATGAAGCCAGCAAACACTAAATATTTAACAGAAAAATAAATAAAAATACAATTCTGAAAATTAAGGATATTATTTTATCCAATCAACTTATTATTTCAGTACTGAGCAATCCTTCATCCAGAAAAAGAACGCTTTGCTTTACTTTTCAGAGTGTTCAGTTCCCTGTAAATCCAGTTTGAAATGTCCAACATAAACCAATTTGTTCAGCTGAGCAAAGTAAGAGTTGCGTGATTCATGCTGATGAGTGTGTTCAGGTGATGTGGACAGTGAAGGCTACTCAAACATCACCCATCCCATTCACATGCAAACACAGTGGCTTTACATCGTACTCACACCCACAGCATTTCTAATCTATTTTCCTATCTTAGCAATCTCAGAAGTTTGTTTAAACAAAGACTCTTTATCAGCAGATTAGCAAAATGCCACCTAAAAGAAAAAGCTGATTTTGTGTGAGTGTTTGCATACAGCAGCTCTTTACTCTCCTTTCTCCCCACATAGCCAATGATGCAGCATATGCTTGCTGTAAATGATCACTTGTGATTTTTACACTTTGGTTTTGCTGTTAGGACTTTCTTCAGACTTTTTCACTCCAAACAAACAAACAAAAAACAATTATTTTTGGTAAATGGTGCCAGGGTGACATCTCTCAGCTGCAGTACTCTACAAAACCTCCCTGTCATGATTCTACTGCTTCATTGGCTTATTTATGTGGGTTCAATTTGTAATTACGTTATCTCTGACAGCAGACAGCCATTCAACAGCTGCGGGGGTTGCTGTGATCCTGGCTAAGTCCTTTGAAATAAAGCTGAGTTTGCTGCGGACAGCTGTAGAGACAGATTAATTTGTGGTGTTTGGAGAGCAAGCTCCCGTTTGAAGAGGAGAGCCAGGTAGCCATCAATGGCTCGCACTCACCAAATGAGAATCAGGAACGGAGGTACTGCGAGAGCAAGTGACCTGTTTGTTTCACTATAAGGACTTTTTTTCTTTTAGAGGATTTTGTGAGACATTTGCTTCATTGGACAGAATCAGACAGGAAACAAGGGAAGAGAGATGCAGCAATAGAGAAAAATCACCACTTCTACTATAAATATGTGTATGACGATGGCTACCAGTCACACTATTGGACAAATCGCTGTATGAAACTGATCATGTGAGGCAAAACCTATCCTCAGCAGATGACTCATTCCCTACCTCACTCCCACTGCTTTTGCTCATCTCACTGACCATAGTATAACCTATTTGTGGTCCAATTTTAGATATAGTCTGTCAATTCTCTCTCGCACGCTGTACTGTGTTGCCCTTTTGTTACAAAAACACCAGCACGACGTAGTAAATGTACATGAAATTGCTGTGAAGGGGCTTTCAAGTGAGCCTCTCTGCAAGACTGCAGACTGACAACATGTACAACCTGTTCTAGTTATTACACAGTAAATGTATAGATTATAGATAAATCTTTTCCACAATCCTTTTTTGTTCTTTCTAAGAAGATTTCTCAGACAAAACTTAAAAATGGGTAACTTTCTGTGGGTGCTGTTTTTGCTGAAGATGCTTCACAAAAATAATAGCCTGCTGAAATGAGGATCTTTAAATCATTTATAGAAACAGGACATTAAACAGGCTTTTTTCTCTGAAGACTAGGCAAATGGGTTCACGGTAGACGATGTGAGGATAGTGCAGGTCCAATCGTTGAAAAGAGTTCTTATCCATTATGACTTCAAAGCAACACTGCACAGACCCGTTTTGCTACAGGTCATTGGGGGGAAAAAAGCAGTGTGGAAAAAATGTCTCTCGATATCAGAGTAGAAACATGCCAAAGACAAAAAACAACATGAATTTATGCTAAAAACTCACACCAGTTTGATTTTTCACTTATTTTTCATTGTATGCAATCATTTGAATATTGCTGTTTGTTGTTTACTAAGGGTCCTTCTCTGACGTTTTCAAAGGGAGGAACACTAAAACACATG